GTGAGAGATTCTCCTGATGAAGGACGAATACTAAATCAAGCGCTCCTTCTAGCGCCAAACTATTGATGCGTGATTTTGACACCAACTAAACGCACGTGTGAAATACTGAGCTGGCCTAGAAGACATGCGTGAATGGGGGATTGGGAATGTAAATGATGGCAAGAAAATGTTTAAAGTGGTTCGGATGCTTAAACAAACGAATCCTACGTCCACTGATATTGTATTTATGTTTGAAGGGTCAGGTCGCGGCTTAGCGAGCTGACTATGAAATATTGAGAATACAAATGAGAGAGAGAGAGAGAGAGAGAGAGAGAGAGAGCTATTATAGAGCAAAATTAGCTAATCAAGAGTAAAAATAAGCGAATCCCCTAAATGGGAGAGAAGCTCTCTATTTATAGTGGGATACATTGGAGTAATGATTACTGAATCCGTAAAAGTGGGTCAAGTACCATGCAAATCCTCTTTTTCATCCCGTTATTCACCTACTCGCATGATTTCCTCGCTTTATGCAAGGATTGGACAAGCGGATGACTTCCAGCCTTTCTTCAATTTGGCGCACACCCACTGCACTGGCAGGAGCATGCTGCTCACCCCAGCACGCTACGTGGCCGCGCCTAAAAGGCTGCAGGGTCTGCCTAGACCCTTACCACTTGTCCTGACTGGGCTCTACATCAACCCTACTTTTCCAGGCATAACACTGTTGAAGAAAGCATGTATGTTTTCCTTGAATGTGTTCTTTGTTGCTATTATGTTTACATCATTTTCAAGATTCAAATCATGTTACTAAAGAATTACCTCTTGTTTTCTGAATCTAACATATCTTTTTCAGGCTATTAGCGAAAATGGTTATGTTAAACAGATGAAGCCTAACACTTTCGATAAACCGTGGAATAATAGGCAAAAAAGTGACTACAAAGAAGTGAAAACGCTAACAAAAAGTCATAGGAGTGTGACAATTATGCAAGGTTTTATTATTCTGGTCATAGGGATAAGGTTTCAGCAGAGTTAGAGAGGTTTATATTTTGAGTGAAAAAAGAGAGAGTGAGGGAAATAGGGTGTAACCTGGTTAAGGGTTTTTGATGTTAGATTTTTATATTATCTCAACTCTAGTTAGGCCTCTTAGCCAAGGTCTTACAGGTATGCCTCGTATGCTCGGTATGAAACTTCTTCCTTATGCCCTTCTTTACCTATTACGCTCGTTAGCATGTTATTAAAGAAAGGAAAGGTATTACTGTAATATTCCTATCTATCTGGCCAAGGAAAGATCTCTAGTTAGCCCCACTATTATTAGAACTAGGCGGCTATTAGGAGAAGATGATAGACCTATAGATATAAGATTAGAAGCACTCTAAAACGAGAAATTCATAATGGAAATGTCCTATTAGTATTAGGTCCTTTAAGCGAGTGAGTTGTGTTTTCTTGAGTGGTTGTACTTAGAGGTGTAATGAGTCTAGCCGAGTATTAGGAAGCTTGAGCTTGGCTCGGCTTGAACAGTTAAAGCTCAAGCTTGGCTCAAGCTCGACTTGATTACCTGTGCAAACTTATGGTCCGTTTGTTTTATTATTTTGGATAAGATTTTGAGAATAATATTAGGTAGTTGAATAGGAGAGTATTACGAGGCAAAATTTAAAAATTTACAAAAAAAACCCCTAGGTTTGCTAATTTAACTAAACACCCAAATATATAAAAATTTTGTAAAATGACAAAAACACACCCACCCACCCACAGTGCCATATTCCAGCTACCACCGCTGAAATCTGGCCGAAAAATGACGTTACGACGCATACCAGTCAGATCTGGCGGGTAGGGTGTCGATATAGTATTTTTCGAAAATGTTAGATTTACGGCCAGATCTGGTCGTCGATGGCCGCCAAAGTCCAGATCTGGCAGTCAGCAACAGTCAAAGATATGACCGCCGTTGATCGTCAACAACAACTATTTCTTTGGCCGTCACTGACGACCAGATCTGTGAATTACTGGTCAGTTCCGGTCGTTTGTAGGCCGTTGTGATAGATTCCAACTATCACCGATGGTAGTTGCCAGAATCTGGCAAGTATGGGTGAGTGCAAGTATTTTTGTTAATTTTTAAACTTTTTTATAGGGGTATTTAATGAAATTAATAAACTTAAGAGGTCTAAAATAATTTAAAAATATACTAATATTTCTCAAATAACAAAACAAACAAGTATTTTAGAAATAGGATTGGGAATATGGGTAGAAATAATAACCCAAGCTGAGCCTTAGTTTTCTTTTTCTTTTTTGACAAAAATCCATCGCAACAACACAAGTCAAACTTTAGTTTTCTTTATTTATTTATTATTATTTTAACTGAAACCATCGCAACAACCCAAGAACAAATTTCTTCATACTGCCAACCGGATAGAGTCCAACCTCTTTCACATCTGCACCCACCGGTATGGACCTGCAGGACAACCCAAATCCGCTACGAGCAGAATTTGGATGGGAGTAAATTTTTGCAAAAAAGAGACTCAACTGCACTTGTACTACAGGCTTAGATATGGCGGCTATTTTTTGCTGCAATATTGGGTGCAAGGGTATTTCTAATGGTGTTTTTTTTTTATCTTAGAGAGTATATTTTACATAAATAAATAGTATCTTTTTTAATTTCTAAATATGAAAAACAAAATTTATATTCAAATTTAATAGGCTCTTTAAATTAGACTTAATAAAAGCATCTCTAAATGACTCTTTATATGACCCAAACTATTTATTATAAAGAGTCTATCTATAAAAACAAAAGTCCAACGTACTCTTTATCTTTAAAATATAAATTAGAGAGTGCGTTTGGCTCTCCAGATTTAGAAAATCAAATTTCACTCTCTATCCTAATTTTAATTAATAAACTACAAGTTTCTATGTATTTTATTTATTAATTCTCTCTCTCATTAAGTCTTTTTCTTAAAAATAAAGAGCATCTTCATTAAATTTAAAAAATCTATTGGATTTGAATAAAAATTGTATTCTTTATATTTAAAAATTAATGAAGATGCTCTTTATTTATATGAAAGATGCTCTTCAAAATAAAAAGTACCATTAGAGATGCTCTAAATAGGAGAAAGAATTAATAATAAAATGCATAGAAACTTGTCATTTATTAAATAAAATTGGAATAGAAAGTGAAATTTGACTCTGTAAATATAGAAAGTGAAATTTGACTCTCTAGATGTAGAGAGTCAAACTCACTCTTTAATTTATATTTAAAGAATAAAGAGCCTATTGGACGCTTATTTTTATGGACAAACGAAAGTGAAATTTGACTCTCTAGATGTAGAGAGTCAAACTCACTATTTAATTTATATTTAAAGAATAAAGAGTCTGTTGGACGCTTATTTTTATGGACAAGCTCTTTATAATAAAGAGTTTGTGTCATATAAAGAGTCATTTGGAAATGCTCTACTACTTTCTCCATCTCTTTGCTCATGCAAAACACATCCTTTGTAATGGGTGTTCAAGGAACTCAACCGCGAAATAACACAGAAAGGCAATAGTGAGAAGATCGGCTTGGCTACGTCGGCAAAATTGGAGTGCAGTAAGTGTAGCATTGTTCCTCGCTATCGCCTCTCTACATCATTTTGCGATTGAGTTCCTGGAACGAGCGTCAAAGTGCGACTTAAATTGGATTGTGGCGATTGTCATTATGGTGGCATTGGTAAATGATTGGACGATGGCAAAATGTGGCGGTGCAGGCGTCGAGTGCGGCTGAAATTGTAGAATGTGGTGGCTGGGGTTTCTAAATTGGAATTGATTTGGGGAGGACCGGGTACCCCTTGGCCTAGGCCCAAGCCCAACCTCATGAAAAATGCCCAAGCCCGACCCAGGCCCGTCACTGGTATGATAGGTAAAGCCCAAGCCTGACATTACGGGCTTTTTATAACCTTAAGTCTGGCACAAGTCCACCCATTTTTATAATGTGAATTTTTAAATATTAATAAAATTCAATTTTTTTTATATTTCTAATTCTAAAAATAGTTTTTAAATATTAATTTATTTTTGAATACTCATCAAATGGGATGAGATTAGGGTTTGGGAAAAATGGGTATATATATATAGGATAATCTTGTAATTAAATATTTAGTATAAAGATAATTTAGTAAAATTAATAATAAAATTGTCGGGTCGGGCCTTAAAATCAGGTCCAAGCCCAAGCCTGCAAACACCGAGTAAAGCCCAACATTTTCGGGCCGTGCCGAGCCGAGTACCTGAAAATATCAGGCTCATTGCCATCTCTAATTTCTTTCTTACTCTAGCAAATCAATCATGCCACCCAAAGTTAATACACAAATTCAATTGATAAAAAATATTCATGTTGAGTTGTGCAAAATAAAAGTTAATCTATTCAAAAAATAAAATTAATATTAAGACTTACAAAGAGACTCTTTTAAAAATTATTATTATTCGAATAACCTTTGTTTATAAGAGTGGTTTTTGACTTCATAATTATTATTCGAAGAACTGAAAGGTACGTTTATTAGGTTGCCTTCTACCAAACAAGTAGATTTAAATTTGTAATTATGGTTAATTTCACATATAAATCAAATTAAATTGTTATGTTAGAATTTAAGTCAAGTTTTTTATGTTTCACACAAATTATATTTGTATCATTTTCCAAGTTTAATATAGGGTTTACTTCATACATAATTTACGGGATCGTTTTATCTTAAACACACCCAAGATTTTCAGAAATTATTAAATACCCCTTATAACTATTAAACTCCCCTTTGAAATAGGTGGAATTTTAATAATTTAATGGGTATTTAATAATTATAGGAGGGCTTTTGATGGTTTTCAAAATGTTTGGGTGTGATTAAACAATCCCACAATGGGGTATGAAATAATTTTTTGTCTTCTGGAATAATGTTTTACTTTAATAGAGTTCTTAAAATCTGATTGAATCAATTAATAATCTAGTTCAAAACATGTTCATATTTTCTGAAATATGCTATAGTATAAAACAATGTAAATATTTGAGAGAAAACTCAATGGAGGAATTGCAAAACACTAATACTTTGTTATCAACAGTACATTTGTTTGTTGAAACGTTTACTGAAACAATAGGTATAAACCACGAAGGCATTACAGTTGAATTAACAAGTTTTTTTTCAAGTACAAATCAACATGTAATCAAATCCATAAGCACATGAAAAAATAAAGAAAAAAACAGTATCCTTATAGTGTAGTGAACACATCCTAGCATAGAGGAAGAGGAGCTCCATTCCATTCCTTTAAACATTCCATCATGGGATCAATCAACTTCCCTGCACACATTGCTAAGAAAACTTTGTCAAATTCCTCACCTGGTGACCTTACTTTCTCACCAGTAAGGAAACTTGTTCCCAGTTCTTCTTTCACAAATTTGTACAATGGATAGGACCTGCATTCCTTGATCCTGTTTGGAACTGCTGCATTTCCATTCTCGATTTCGATTCTCGTGCTTTCAACTTCTTTGGGGAGAAGGGTTTTTAGTTCCTCCTCAAAGGCTCCAATCTTCTGGAAAATTGAAGTGCTCGAGTTTTTCTCTCTGTCTCCATTGGCCATGGCATGTTCAACTAGGACTTGCCTTAGTTTTTGCATTAATGGATAGGTTGCGCTGCAGGGATCATCGATGTATTCGAAAATGTATTCCCTGTCGACGACTTTAATCAAGTCTTTTTCGCAGAACCTTGATGGGTGAAGTTCGCCATTGAATCCCATTGTCAGGACTCTCTTGGCCACTTGACTCACTGTGTTCTTCACAGTGTTCTTTAAGTTCTCCTCCAAATGCCTCAAGTCAATGGCTTGGCATAGAGCAACCAAGTAAGTAGAGGACATGAGCTTCAATATGTCAACAGCTTCAGCTGTTTTTCTTGAAGAAATAAGGCCTAAAGAGTTCACATCTTGGTTGTGTTGCTCAGCGCTCTGGACATGATTGGTGACAGGATTGGCAAGGAATTGAAGTTCAGAACAGTAAGATGCCATCGCAATTTCAGCACCCTTGAATCCATAATCCAAGCTGGGATTGCGACCGCCAGAAAGATTTGAAGGCAATCCATTGTTGTAGAAGTCATTAACCAGCTCGGAGAACTGTGCAAACATGAGTTTACCAATGGAAGCAATGGCAAGACGTGTGTTGTCCATGGAAACACCAATTGGGGTCCCCTGGAAATTGCCTCCGTGTAGTGCCTTGCTCCTTGAAACATCAATCAATGGATTATCATTCACAGAGTTTATCTCCCTCTCGATCATTTTGGTCGCTGCGCGAATCACTTCAATCTGAGGGCCTAGCCATTGAGGAGATGTTCTAAGAGCATATCTGTCTTGTTTCGGCTTCTGAAGAGGATCGATTTCGTGCAACTTTTGAGCTGCTTTAACATACCCGCTGCCAGCTAAAATGTGCTCCATTATAGCTGCAGCTTCAATTTGGCCAGGATGGTGCTTCAATTTATGTGTCAAGTGGTCAGTAAACTCAGGTTTTCCATTCATAACTTCCGCGAAAATTGCTGATAAAACTTCTGATAGAATAGCAAGTACGTTAGCCTCAAAAAGAACCATTGAAGCTAAGCCAGAGCCAACTGCTGTGCCATTCACTAGTGCAAGACCCTCTTTAGGTTGCAACTCGAAGAATCCACTACTGATACCAGCAAGTTGGAAGGCTTCACTGGAGTTCAGTACTTGCCCGTTGGGCCCGACCGCCTTTGAGTTAGGCCTGCCGATCAAGAGTCCAGCAATGTAGGATAACGGAACCAGGTCGCCCGATGCAGTGATTGTGCCGCGGAGTGGCAAACATGGTGTGATGTTATGGTTAAGGAACTTGGTGATGGCTTCCAGGATATCAAACCTGATGCCCGAGTATCCTTGCAACAGGGTGTTGATTCTGACCAACATCGCCGCTCTTGTTGCAGAATGAGGCAATGTGTGGCATGATTCGGTACCATTGCCAAATATTCCAGCATTCAAGAACCTGAAAAAAAAAAAAAAAAAAAAAATTCAAAAACTACATCAGCTAGATGTACATAAATCCATCAAATTTCCAGGTCCTGGAATATTTTTTGTGTGGATATGGTCAGATTGACAGGATCCACCAAATTTCCAGGCCCTGGAATTTTGTTTTTTTTTTTTTGGTGGGTTGGGCCTGGATGGCCCACAGACAGGACCTGGTCCTGGTCTAAGCCGGACTGTAATTAAAAAATAAAGAATTTTTTACTATAGTTTGACTTGAGCATGAAGTATATTACAAAAACTACCATTTATGGCCAACACCCCATCCTTTTCAGAAGAAAATATTAAATTTGACCCAGGAAAGTTCATATTTTTATATGAATCATGCAGTCCTTACACACAAACAAATCAATATATGAAATTATCAAAAATATGGGATAAAAGTAATAAATTTCTTCTGTATCCACGTGATATGGTGCACCTAATTCTTATTTATGTTTGGTCACTTTCCCAATCCAAAACTTGGAGTGAACAAGAACAACTTCACCAAATCGAAAACTTGAAGCAGGCAAAATATATGTCACTTTCACCAAATTTAGGGCAACGTATGTAATTGAAGCAGGCAAAATATATGTCACTTTCTCCAAATTTAGGGCAACATATGTAATTGAAGCAGGCAAAATATATGTCACTTTCTCCAAATTTAGGGCAACATATGTAACTAATCCAATCCACCCCACTTCTTCGATTTCCTTATTATACTACAAAATCTTCAATTTAGTAAGAAATAGTTAATGACCATTTGACTCTTTTCTTACGGAAAAAAAAACGTGTAAAGTCTAACCTGATTTTTCGTTTAAAAGAGTTAAAGATAATACAATTATTGGACTAACCAAGTCCTCTCTGGAGACATCAAATTTGTGGTGGAGCATGATCCATGGAAAAGAAAACAAAAAGCTTAACTTTTCGGAGAAAATATCACCGACGACACAGTTTTTGGAAGAATTTATTAATTAATTTAAAAGTAATCACGCTGAAACAATTATGAATTTTTTTTTTTTTTTCATATTTTTCTTTAATAAGAAAAGGAAAATCAAACTGTCACTAGTCTAACGGTCAATTAAGACTCTTGGATATATTATTCAAAAGATCTTAACCTCGATTTATTTGAATTGTTAATAGGAGTGACCATTAAATTGGATTTACATGACTATTAACTTTAAAACCCTATAAAATTAATTGAGATACGCACAAATTGACTCGAATACCTCGATCATCCAAAAATAAAAGATAAACATATTTTAAAATTTAATGTTATACGTGGCATTTGACAGTTGGGATTTTTTTTTCTCCTAACTGCATTTTTGGCTATATAAATATGTATTAAATGCAAGCTTGAAAAAGGTTATGGATCTCCTAACACTCAAAATAAATAAATAAATAAAATAAATAACTTAAACTCATGACCTTTACCTAAAATTAGATTAGCAGGCCACTAAGAAACCACCTAACTCCTAATTACACGAAAAAAACAAATAATCATAATCTAAACCTTATTTACGTTAATTACTGTAACTTAATTAATTATAATTCTTAATTACCTTATAAGCTCATTCTGCAGGGCGCCACCTTGCTTCGTTCTCCTATGTGACGTCGCACCAAAGCCAGTGGTCACTCCATAACTATCCGTCCCTTTGTTCATGCTCTCCATCACCCAGTCACTGCTGGCCTGCACACCGGGCCGTGCTGCCTCTGAGAGCTCCACCCTCACCCCGGAATCATGACTGGCAATCGCGGTCACTTGGCCTATCGTCAACGTCTCCCCCCCGAGCTTCACCACCGGCTTCCTGAACTCCTCCACCATGCGTTTAACTTCATCAAGGTGGCTTCCTTTCAATGACTCCGCCGCAAAGTTCCAATTCAAAGGGTCGCTCGTGCACAACCCACCATTGCGATTTTCGTGACAGAACTCCATTGTTGTTTGGCAGGAAAGAAAACGAGTGTGAAAATCTTGCGTTTAAAAGATTATGTTGTTAGTGCATGGGATAATATGAAAGTGTTAGGGTTACTGTGTGAAGTGTTTTTGGAAACAGAGAAAACAAAAATAAATTTTGTAAATTGTTTTGTTTTTGTTGTGAAGGAAATTTTCAGGATTAAGTAGTGAAAATTCCTGAGTTTAGTTAACTAAAAATGAGGCCTTTAAATAGATGGAGGGGGTGGCACATTGAGTGTTTGGTGGATTGGCCGACGGGTTAGTTGAAAGTTGCACGTGGCCGTTGGATTTTCATGAGCTTGGGACGGGTAGGATTTAGACACGTGGCGACATGGTGATTAGTTGGCATGGACTTGGGGTTGGTGGAAGGGCACGAAAGCAGAACGTCATCCTTTTCCTATTGGTGCAATTCGAGGAAAAGTACTAAATTATCCACTTAGAAGATGACTTATGCACTGATGTATAGATTGCGGGGAATATTATACTTAAAATTTAATCTTACAAAATTTTTCTCATAATCTCGATGTAATAGTTTGTAATTGATCAATTCATAAATAAGTCTTGTCTACTCGTTATAGGTTTCGTTTACCCAATTACAAATTAAAGAGTTGTGATAAAAAATTTGTAAGATTAAATTGTGAACCAATCTTTATTATGAAATCTTATGTGAAATAATTTAATCACATTAAAACACATCAGTTTTTATGAATGAGTTTGTATGTATAGTATTACATTTAGAAAAAAAACTGACGGTATTCAATTAAATTATTAATTTTTTTTCTCTTTTTGTTTTTTTAGATAATCAATTAATAGCAGTTTACAAAATAGTCCTTTTTGTCAAACTTGATAAATTAAATGACAAAAAGACGATATAAAAATTGAATTATAATCTACATATTTAATTTTTAACGGAAAGATAAGTTTCCAAATAGAGGGTAATTAATGAAAATAATTAAGCCTTTAGATGTTGGATTAAGGGCAATTTCAATACTAAATACTTTTATAAGCTTGATTATAATTAGTAGATTATTAAGCTAATAAAATAAAATAAAAAAATTTGGGTAGTGCACTGCACGTTGATTGATAAAATTGTTGACAATTCAACCAATTGGAAGGTTTGAAATAACCATCATCTCAACCTCTTCAATTCCAGCGACCTTTGTTCACACCTTCCACGTTTTTCTATTTCTTAATCTTAGATTAATTTATCTAATTAATTGTGTTTAAATTATCAAGACCAACAGCATTCGAACTTAATTAGCAAATTAACCATAAGAAAAGCCTGGTGTTCATTTTAAATGAGGGTAATAGTTATTAATCTAATATACAGATATTATAACNCCCACCATTGCGATTTTCGTGACAGAACTCCATTGTTGTTTGGCAGGAAAGAAAACGAGTGTGAAAATCTTGCGTTTAAAAGATTATGTTGTTAGTGCATGGGATAATATGAAAGCGTTAGGGTTACTGTGTGAAGTGTTTTTGGAAACAGAGAAAACAAAAATAAATTTTGTAAATTGTTTTGTTTTTGTTGTGAAGGAAATTTTCAGGATTAAGTAGTGAAAATTCCTGAGTTTAGTTAACTAAAAATGAGGCCTTTAAATAGATGGGAGGGGTGGCACATTGAGTGTTTGGTGGATTGGCCGACGGGTTAGTTGAAAGTTGCACGTGGCCGTTGGATTTTCATGAGCTTGGGACGGACAGGATTTAGACACGTGGCGAGATGGCGATTAGGTGGCATGGACTTGGGGTTGGTGGAAGGGCACGAAAGCAGAACGTCATCCTTTTCCTATTGGTGCAATTCCAGGAAAAGTACTAAATTATCCACTTAGAAGATGACTTATGCACTGATGCTATATACCTCCATGTATAGATTTAAATTTATCATGATCTCGGCTTAATAGTTTATAATTGGTCAATTCACAAATGAGTTTTATCTGTTTATTATAGATTTTGTCTACCTAATTATAAGCTAACTAATTATAAATTAAAGAATTATGAGAAAAAATTTATAAGATTAAATTGTAAACCAATCTTTATTTTTAAATTTTTATGTGAAAATTATTTAATCACATTAAAATACATCAGTTTGTATGAATGAATTTGTATATATAGTATTACACTTAGAAAAAAAAAAAAACTGACGGTATTCAATTAAATTATTAATTTTTTTTTTCCTTTTTTTGTTTTGTTTTGGGATAATGAATTAATAGTAGTTTACAAAATAGTCCTTTTTGTCAAACTCGATAAATTAAATGACAATAAGACTATATAAAATTTGAATTATAATCTACTTATTTAATTTTTAACGGAAAGATGAGCTTCCAAATAGAGGGTAATTAATTAAAATAATTAAGCCTTTAGATGTTGGATTAAGGGCAATTTCAACACTAATTACTTTTATAAGGTTGATTATAATTAGTAGATTATTAAGCTAATAAAATAAAATAAAATAATTGGGTAGTGCACGTTGATTGATAAAATTGTTGACAATTGAACCAATTGGAAGGTTTGAAATAACCATCATCTCACCTCTTTAATTCCAGCAACCTTTGTTCACACCTTCCACGTTTTTCTATTTCTTAATCTCAGATTAATTTATCTAATTATCAAGAACAACAGCATTCGAACTTAATTAGCAAATTAACCATACGAAAAGCCTGGTGTTCATTTTAAATGAGCGTAATAGTTATTAATCTAATATACAGATATTATAACCTCAAGGGGTTAGGCTAGCGGTTAAGGAAGTTTGTTTTCTTCTTTGAGTATTTGGGTTCAAACCTTGCAGTTATCTATTACGGTATAATTGACTTGATCTTTTGAGTTCATAAAGTATTCAATGAATTTTAAGAATTAGTTAAGATGCGTACAAACTGACCTAGACATATAAGGTGACAAAAAAATAAGTTTGTAAAGTGTTAACTAACTTAAACACGTTATTACCAAATATATATATATATATTATCTATTAGATCTGGGATTTGAACTCTCTTGTGCGTACCTTCATGACCAATAAAACATTTTTAAATTGCTTCCCAATGAGGGCAAGGTTTGTTGGGAGATTTAGTTTGGAACTATGCCGCTAGCCCGAGGAATTTTTGGATTATTATAAAAAAAAAAAAAAAAAAAAAAATCCTGTATCTTTTTTAAATTCAATCAAAATTTATCATATTAAAAAGGATAAATTTTTATTTTTAAATGTTTATTGGGGATTTGGATTTTTTTTTAAAGAAAAAGTGTGACCTAGCATACCCAAAAAAATATAATTTAAAGCTGCTAATTTAATTGATGTGTGAAATAGTCTGAGTCATTGTCAAGATCACATAAAAGAAATTAAGGGTGTAGGATTATTAATTATTTTCAAAAATATTCTTAATGTTGTGATGAGATTTTTGCTTATATTCTCTTGAGATCTTATGCATTAATTAATTATATTAATTATGAATTTAATTATCCCGGCTCCGCCTTCTGCTAGCACCACCCTCGGATCTTAAGTAGCTTAATGGGTTTAATTAATTAGTGTTAGGTTGCGCCTCCGTTCCTGGATTTAGATTGATTGTCATCGTCTTAAACTCATTCATCTTCAACTTTATTTCGTCGTCTTTGCAGGGGCAATGGGATTTCATATTACCTCGAGCTTGAACTCCATGGATTATTATTGAAAGAGATGGTTTGCTATCGAATTTATTGCAGCTTTTGTGAAGCTTCATAATTTATAAATGCTTCAATATATATTTTTCAAGGTGTTCAGATCAATTTGCACACATCTTAATTAATCTCTTGAAACCTTTAAACTGTTGACCAAGTAAGAACCCCAATAACCATTTCTATTAATGTTTGAGAAAACTCGAACTATTAATGTTTAAGAGAGCTCGAACTCAAAAGTTTATAAAATTTTCTTTTACTTTTTTATCATCCGATCACCTATTAATGGTTTAAATACTTCGATATTTGAGAACATGTCCCTTATTAGAAACTTTATTTGCGAGGATGCAAATTTCTGACGCTAAAGGCCAACGTTGGCATTCAAACATTACACCAACATCTATTTATGCTGGTGTTGAACAGAATTTATCGCAGATTTTTTCCTTTTGTCCACGCCGTGCTCGCTTCGGAAGAAGCAAAAAAGGATATATATTTTAATATGAGGTTAATAAAAATAGAGAACAAGTTGGAATTTAGATTGTGAAGCTCCTATAGAAACTAGATATGGAGAAAAGAAAATCAAGGAATTAATATAAAACGTGTTTGTTGTTAGTACATACAAGAACAAGATTTAAAACAAGCAAAACTCATTCTCTGGATATTCATGTCAAATTAAAACAAGTCTGAAAACCTTTTTAAAACGTATTTAATTATTTATTTTATTTTTCCCAAATGTATCAATCGGTCTAATCACTTTAATTACGTATGCCATTTCTTATCACAATTATTATTGAATGAAAAAGAGTTAAAAAAATTGGTTTGTTTTAATATTGTACTTGCATGCTTCCAAAAGATGATTTCGACAGCAAAATTAAACTTTTTGTATGGGAAATTGGGAATGATTTAAACATTGAAAGAAAAAGATGATGCGATTTCTTATTATATTATTCATGTATAAATTTTTCTCTTATGCATGCGTCAACAACTTACTCGATGAATCTTCAATTTACCATTTTCTTAATATTTTCCGGGAAAATCCATCTCCTTTTCTATCCACTCTTAGGCAGTGGGAAACCTACCAACCCCATATCAATTTTTCTAATTGCTTTGTAGTTGGTAAGACATTTTCAAGATCATGCTCTGTGGTCTCCACCCACCTAGCTTTTTTTTTTTTTTAAATAATAACTCTACATTCTTTTTTAATTTCAAATGGAGGAATCTAATTTCTATTAACGGATATTGATCCCTAGCATACTTTGACTGGGTACAAAATGAATATCAATGACTTTATCAGCTTAATTAATATCAAATTTATATGATTATTGATTTGACTTGGATAATATAAATATTCAGTTTCCAAATAAATTAAATGGTTGTTATTGAATATGAGTTAGCAAATGTTGTCCATTGTTAAACGAGAATTAGTAAACTGTTTACTGAATCAAACAATATAAATAAAATTTTAGTAGTAGAATTTGAGGTTACTAGTTCATTGTCGAACATTGAAAATACAAATTCAAAACAATTTTATATGTCATTCAAAGATCACAAAATGGACTTCTCAGGTTTCTTCCCAATTAAAAAACCTCTTATCAAGAAACATTCAACATTAATTGTATACTTGATCATTAATCATCATAATGGTTAATTAATTAGCGGATAATTTATAATAATTACATTTGATTCATCATTCATCAAGCTGAGGCTTTCAACTCGGTTTTGTCTCAATATTTTGTTGAAAATATTGACAAAAAATTTCAGCCATGGAAGTTGACATTGTCAAGGTTATCAAATAATCCAAACCTACATAAAAATCCTTGAAATTGAAAACAAGAAAAACATAGAAAACAAAAACAAACAAATAAAAACAAAATTGGGGGTTGGTGAGAGCTTACACAAGTCATGCTCACCACCAACCACAACTTGTTTGTAAATTTAGTATACGTAGGGTAGGTGAACCCAATTAGAAATTCAAGAGATTTAAATAGAATTATATTTCTATATTTTATTGGTCCAAGTCAAAAAAAAAAAAATAAATAAATAAATAAAGTTATGACTCAAAATTGAAATGGTCATTTATATTAATAAACTCATGTAACTAATTGCCGTTTTTTAATCACTATCATTATAATCTTTTTTAGTTAATTATTTTGTGTTTCATCAATAAGGATTCAAATATTAGGGTTGAAATCTTGATTATTATTATTATTAATTAATCAAAAAATATATATAATATAGGGAACTTAGAAACATCAAATAATATATAATTAATTTTATCCTTATTCAAAACTTCTCTTTCCTATCCAAATATATTACAATTACATTGAAAAGATATCATATAATATAAAAAATAATTTATTTCTTTTTTCAAATATTTATATTTAAATTAAACTTGTGTTTGGTGTAGAAGTGCTTTCACCTACCCAGGTGATTGAAACAGTCACTAAAATAAATTAATTATTGATAACCACTTATAGTTAGACCTGCTTTTTCATTCTTGGTCTCCCGGGTTTTTCTGTGTTAATTAATTAATTTATTAATTAAACACACAAACTGGCCTTTATATCAATCACAAGTATCTTATTTGTGGAATTGTTTCACCTAATTTTAATGATAAGGACACATAAATGCTTTCTATCATTTTAAAGAAGATAAAATATAAATAAATATATATATTATCTGGGTCTAGCTAAAGATTTTAGGTTTTCGAATTAATTATGTGTGTAATGCCAAAACATACTGATGAGAGATGGTTCATATATAATTATAAAACCCTTTATAGGTATGCACATCAACATTAACAATTATTAGTTTTTTATGAATCAATTTGGTGATTATTATGAAACATATCACTGGTGCGTATATATATTTTAAAAGAATTATCACCAAAGGAAAATTGTGATTACCTAA